AACGCCGTGCGAGTGGCCGCGGATACCGCACCAAAAGTCTTTTCGTCTATCGGAGCGGTCGCCCCGATATGAGTCATACTTTTCATTAGGATGCGAACGAACTTCGCGGGCGATACACGTCTCTGGTGAGTAAAGTTTCAGCCCAATATTTAAAAACTTGATTTCGTTAAAAAAAAACCAAACCCCTATAAGGACGATATGGTAAGACTTTCATATCTCAGTCAAATCGTAACATAAGCTTATATTGTTTTGGGATTTTCTAGTCTATAAGCGTCCTATATATGAGGAAAATATGAGCCAAAAGCGGTGAACCATCACTTCAAAAGGTTTCCTCGTTAGCTTATTTTTAGAAAGAGAATAAAATCCTGATCGGAGCCGAATATTTCGCCCGAACTAATTATGAAAGCATGGAACCCGTTAGGAATTCGTAATCAGAAATTCATAATCGCAATGACAGAATGAGTAATTCCATCTCTGATTGCAACTGTACATGTACGCGATCAAAAAAAAGCATAGTCCCACACATCTTTATCATCGACTAAAGAAAAGAACATCGAACAATTATTTAAGATTTGAGACTAAGACATTCTGCAATCGTTTACTGTTAACTGGAACCGACAATGGAAAAATTAAAATTGCCGGAACCAAAAGAGTAGGTTCTATACATCTCTAGTCGCTACTGATCAGAGATGTGCACCGTCCTTAAAAATCGGCCAGCGGACGGCGGAAAACATGAGTTAAACTTCCAAATAATGACGATGGTGCTAACCGCTCCGTCGAACAGCCGCTAGCGGCTCACTGAGATTGTTTTTTTTTCATTACTTTTCCATAGATTTATTGCAAGAATATTTTTAATGTATATTGCTTAATATATTGATCTCGTAAGAATTAACGCAACAAAAGCATAGAAGATGGCTCTATTTTTCTTACACCATAGAGAAGGAATAGCAAGACGACAGCACAAATCCATGCGATATATATGATAAAATACCGAACATACATAAAGCTGATTGAAAGTGACAGAACGAAAGAGAAAGTCATTTTTTTATTTTTCTGTTTTCATATAGAATGCAAGAATTATCGGTATCTAGAAGGTTAGTGATATAAGTTATCAACCAATACAGTCATAGATTAAGTTTATAGTAAAGAGGAATTATATACGACAAAGGTGTAAATAAATAAAATGATGAATTATAACGGAAAAACAAAAAGTTGAAGTCAACAATGTATCTATGTGTAACGAAAGGAGCAGTAACAGAAACAAAGAAACAATATATAAATAGCTTCATAGAACATCTAGTATAAAGCAAACATATTTTGTTAATCAAAATTCATCCATTGTAGTATTCTAAAATGATATTTATATCAACTACAAGTACGAAGTTCATGGTTCGCTATTTATTGTTATTATTATTATTTAATAGAAAAAGGACATTAATATTGCTGTACGATATTAAACTCGCCTTGGGTTTGTCGATTTCAATTTTAGAACATATTCCCTCACAGCATGGCCAAATTAAGATCATGCGGCCGCTTCGCACCCGCTCGAGCGGTACACATCTCTACTACCGATCATTAGCGAGATAAGATGACTAGCAGATTTTTATTTTCAACTTGCTACTATTTTGCTAATTTTTAAGGAAAGGGACATACTGATGGAGGGAAAAATGAATCGAAAACAGGTAGAATGGATTTAGCAGAACAAGAACTAACCTCTTTTCGATCATTGTCTTCATCGTCATCATCATCATCATCATCATCTTCATCAGCATTTAAACGTGTTGACGGTTGAATATCATCCTCATTTTCATCATATTCAAAATCACTATCATCATCGAATAATGATTTTTTATAATTTCTTCTAGATATTTGTTTATGTCTTCTTTTATTCAATGATTCAACATGAACATTAGATAATTTTTGTACATTATCAATATTATTTATTTTATTTGAACGATATCCAATTTTCGATGGAAATTTTGGTATCCAACGAATATAACCGATTATAGTTTTTTGTTGATTTGTAAATGTAAATGAATGAAGATTAAATATAAATTTATCATTATTAATAAAATCAATATCAATAATAATTTTTTTTCGTCTATAATTAATTGCTTTATCAAATTCTGAACTTAGTTGTGTTGTGCAATTATACCAAGAATTAAATTGTAATTTAAATCTACTATTATTAATTAATGGGATATCAAATGTTTTTAATGATGGTTCATTATTTGAATGTAGATTTGGATGTTCAATAATCATTATTTGCCATAAACAATTACAATTAAAATTCCATAAAGATGATCCACGACAACGAATCCATGATAATTGATTTTTTTCATCTTTAGTTTTAGTTGATCGAAGAAATTGAATAAGTGAAATATTATAAACAAGAGAATTTCCTTTTAAATAAATATCTTGTTTAATTTCTTGATCAGGTTTTATTAAAAGTGATTGATTTAATTCATTTGATTCATTGATTGAAAATGAATTCCATTCTTTATCTGATAATAATTTATATTCCCAAATACAATCAAATATTCCTGTATTTAGTTTTTCATCTAAAGGTTCTTCAGGTGGAGTTTTTGATATTTGAGAATAACCTAAAATAAGAAAATCTTCGAAAAAACGTCGAATATTCTCATTTCCTAATCCATTTTTAATTGGAGTTTCTCGAGCTTGATTTTGAATAAAATAATCAGCTCCATGGTCAATTAAATATTTGACAATATCTAAATTACCATTAAAACAAGCACCATGTAATGCTGTTGAAGCTGCGGATGGATTAGCTGAATAATGTCCACCTTTTTTTGTTGTAAATAAAGCTTTTTCAAGTTCTTGTAAATTTTGAGCATTAACAGCACAATGTGCATTTTCAATAAGATATTTAACAAGAGACATATGATTATTTCTTGCTGCTGAATATAAAAGTGTTGTACCATGAAGACCAGGTTTATCTTTTAATGTTGGATAATTTTGAATAAAATCTTTAACAATTTGAGGAGTTCCATTCCATGCTGCTGTAAAAGCATCAATAGATGCTAATGCACCTCGAAGAGAACATTCAAATGGATGAAGACTATCCATTGTAAATGAACTTGAAAATTTTTGTTCATCTTCATCATAATGAAATTGATTTAAAAATTCATATAAATATCTTTTACATATATGACTTAAACGTGTTCGATATTGATTGATATAACATTGAATTTCTTCTTTAAGTATATCTAATTTTTCTTCTTCAAATTTATTTAATGTAAATGTATATACACCTGTACTCAATACTGAATTTTTATGAAATATATCAGATTGTGATTGTGATTGTTTAGGTTGTAATTGATCAATTGATTTATTAACAGTAGAAATTATATCTTTGAAACATTGTTTTAAATATTTTTCGTCAGATTTGTCTCCCATAATAACAATTGTCTTCTAAAATAATAAAGATAAGAACAAACATATAAATTTACGTAGATAATCATTATAAAAACATAAAATATTTTGTTCTTCAAGAATTAAAGATAACTTTTTGTTTCTTCTTCAGTGATACGTTCAAAATGCAAAAGTTTGACATGAACTTCAATAGGGTTAAGATAACAAATAAAAGTTGAATATCTTACCATATAATATGTTTATACATTTATTTCAAGGTCAACATTTTTTATTTATTTATATTGAAACTAAAACGTCGTTACCTCTTTTTATCGTCTACAGAACAATACATAGTGTTTTACAATTCTTTGATAACCCTATCTGATCTTTGAATATTCGTTCTATTTTTCATGGGGGAAAAAACATTCATCAGAACCTAAGAAATCTAAACAAACGATTTCATATATAAAAGAAGATCATCAATTTTTATCTTTTGATGTTTCAGTTTGTTTATCAACAAAATAAATTTAAATTACCTATTTTATCTACAGTTGATAAAAGTAGATTTAATTTTCGCAATTACAGGTAATGAATAACTCAAGGTTTTGTTATGTCTAAAATGATCTGAAAAATAAAAACAAAATCAAATATTCAATTAAAAATGATTCAATGTTTTACAAAGATTTTCAAAAATAATATTCTCAAAAAATCGGAGAAAATAATCAACGTTTCAATTTTATCATATTTAAAGTTCTTGATTCAACTGAGAAACAAAATTTCAAAAAAAAAAAAAAAACTTCACTAAAATGTATAATGCTTTTCTTAATGTATTTTCGCCGAAAATCTGATCTTATCAATACTTTTTCAATGTTTTTATTTTGAATAGATAAGACAAAAAAAAAGTATATTTTTCCCGGTTTTATCAATCCACTAAATAATTTTTTCGTCCGAAGTCGAATAGAATTAAGGGTGAATGTGGGTATAGACCGAGATAACATGAATCTGTACCCCACATCTACACACCCTTAAAACAACAAAAAGTTCTCGGTTTTCAGTTTTTTTTCGCTTGTAATTTTGCAAATGTAATAAAGAACACAAAAAAATGCATTCGACTGCTTATTTATTTACAACAGAAGAAAGAAAAAAATTCTATGACTTTGTTTTTATATTGACTTATTATGGTCACCTGTTGTTTCTTCCAATTTATGCGCAAATATAAAGAAAAATTCTTATCAATATACCCTTAATGATGATTCATCATTGAACTTTATTAATCTTTAGAGTTTAAAGTATATATTCAATTCTATTTAGATTTTTAAATTCATCCAATTTGTTTAGTTACTGGTAAAATAAACTTGTGTAGCAGTAGAATGTCATATATAATGAAGCATGAGCTGGAATGAATTAGAAAAAACTAACGTCGCCCTGTGCGTCATTGATAAAGAAAAAGGTAAAAGTGAAAAGGAAGAAAAATATTCCCTGTGAAAAAAAAAATATAGTAGACGCAAATGGGGTCGATAAAAATAAATACTCAAAAAAAAAATGCTATATGCATTTCATCTATTCGTGGACACGAGTAAAGTAGAAAGATAGCAAAAAAATAAAAATAAAAATAAATCTAAACGAATATGGCTGGAAAAACCGGTACACCATATGACATTCTTGAAGTAACAAAAGAAAATAATGACTATCAATTGCGTGTTGCATATCGTCAAAAAATTCATCAATTCAAAGCAGATCAATTAAAACCACCTGCAAATCGTACAATTAATGATAAACAATTTCAACAAATTTGTCGTGCTTATGAAACACTTTCAGATTACGATAAACGAAAACGATATAATGAACGACAAGAATGGATTTCAGATTTACATGAATCGAAATATACACTTCAACAATTAGCTGCTGAACCACTTTTTGCAGAACAATTAAAACAAAGATTAATCAATTCTAAATTAAGACAAATTAATGCACAAGATCCAATTACAGGTCAAACACCATTATATTGTGCAGCACGTACATGTAATATTGAAGCTGTACAATATCTTATTGAACAAGGTGCTGATCCTGATTTAGTACAACGAACAGGAAGTACTGCTTTACATGTTGCTTCATTTTATGGACATCCAGAAATTGTTCAATGTTTATTAGAAAGTGGAACTGATTATACTTTAAAAAATTCTTGTAATAATTTACCTGAAACTGAATCATATAATGATCAAGTAAAAGAGACTTTCACTAAATTAAAACAAATACCATTTGTACAAGCAGCTGCTAATCAACTTAATTGGTTCAAAGAAAATATATCAAATATTAAAGAACATATTGATACACAATATTATGTTCAACGTCAAACATTACTTCATTGTGCAGCAAAAAAAGGTCATTTTGAACTTGTTCAATGGCTTGTTGAAGAACGTTCAGCTAACATTGATATTGTTGATATTAATTTAAATTCAGCTCTTCACCTTGCTTCTTATGGTGGACATTCATCGATTGTTGAATATCTACTTAATCAAGGTGCTGATTCAACTTTAATAAATAAATGGGGAATGACAGCTGAACAAGAAGGACTTATTCATAAAACTAAAATAACACAATTATTTCAATCAATGAAAGAACAAAACATGTTCGATATGGCTGTTAACGGTTTTGATTGGTGGTTTAGATATTATTTTGATGATAATTCACCAAATACAATTGATGGTCGTGGTACAAGTATACTTTATGTTGCATGTCGTTTTGGTAAAACATCAGTTGCGAAATGGCTTTTAGACAAAGGTGCAACTATTAATTTTCAATTACCTGGACAACGTAGTACACCATTACATGCTGCTGCTTTTCATGGACATAAATCAACAGTTGAATTATTACTCTCTCGAAGTGTTGATATTAATATTCAAAATCAATATGGTGCTACGGCTTTAGATGAAGCTCAAACTGATGAAATTAAAACACTTCTACAACAATATCGAGAGAATTTATCAGTAGAAAAATTAATTTCTGTACATTTGTATGGTGATGGAACTAAATCCGGTAATGAACCAATAGCAAAAGTACAATTACATTATGATGCTACAATTGATGATCTAATAAAAGCAATACCACCATCTTTAGGAAATTCATATCGATGGTTTTCAGTTGCTCGAAGTCCTTTAGCCTTTGAAAACAACAATATTAACTTAGTATCAGCTGTGTGTCGTGCTCGTCATGCCAATACAAAATTCATAGATTTACCAATATGTCTCATAACTTATACTTCTCCACGATATATGAATAGTGGTTATACAACAAGAAAACAGTTCCCTGCTCATAATTTACGTTCATTCCAAAGCATGTTTAGAACACAAAGTAAAATGACTTCATTTCATATAGAAGCTAAATCAAACAATATACAAACATTTAATATTGAAAATTTGTTATTTAACTTTGCTCCTAATTGTGCCAATAATGATATTTCAATTAAAATCAATTATATAATTGAACCAGATGCTGAACAATTTGACTTATCTGAATGTATTTGTCTATTCGAAACAGAATATAATGATAATGATGATAAACTAAATGATATGCCAACAGTTACAGTCAAAAATGAATCTAATGTGAAATTATATACATGGATATCAAATTCTGCTCATTGGTTTTCTTATTCGAATCAATCGAATCGTTTACCTCGTATTGGTAGTAAACACGCTTTAATTCGTCAAGTGGAAATTATTCCAAAACAACTTTATCTTTTACCAGACATGTTTATTCAAGCTGCTGTTGGAAGACCTCTTCAACCTTGTCAAAATCCAGTTCCTTGTCAATATCTAAAGATACGTGATCATGACTCGGAGAATTTTCCCCACACTGCTTATCATGGAACATCTATTGGCGTTATTCGTTCGATACTTATGGATGGACTGGTTATGGCAAATACAGTTGTCTCAAGTGGAATTCGTGTTTGCCCACCTAAGAATCACATTGCACGAGGAGTAGAAGCTTTTGGGATTAAAGATTTTGCAAATGCAATATTCGTTAGTCCAAGTATACATTACTGTTCAGATCCCGTCTATGCTGTTTCATTTAGTAATAATGATCAATTGACGATAGTTGTACTCGAGTGTAGAGTTAAAAAAGGCACATTTGATGCTTTCAAAAGTACTGTACCTACATATGTGGCAAAACCGGGTGACAATCTAGATGCCATTGAATGGCGAATAACTTCTCCAGCATGTATTCAAATAACGGGAATTCTCTTCATTCAAATTATTAAGTCAATTGAGAAAGCGTCAAAAAGTCGAGCTGATAAATTAGGAATTGATCCTAATAGTATGACATAAATAAAGTTCATTAATAAATCACGCTTTTTGTTTTTTATTTTTTCTATATTCTTTATCAAGCTTTTCTGAATGATTGTTTTTTTTTCTATTTTTGTTTTCATTACGTTACAATTTACAACACACAATACAGAGTTTCTCCTCATTTTCAAATAAAAAAAGAAATATATTCTAAACAAAAAATCATTTTGATACTCTATAGCAAACCATGACAGAACACTTAAATACTATGAACAAAATAGTGACAATTCTCTTATTGATACCTTCAACAAAGATACAAACACACTACTAATCCGATTATAACGCAACTACAACTATCTCTCAATCATACACAACTCGATCTTAATTAGTTTCGATCTTACGAAAGGGTATGAAGATTTCTTCTCACCTAACTTCTCAGAAGTTGGGGTGTGAGGGTGTGGGTGGGTGCGAGCCTTCTCTTCATTTACTGACATGCACATGTGTATCCACATCCGACACACATTTCACTCACACTCACACCCTAATTATCTTCTTGCCTAATAGGGAAGTGTGAATTGAAACGAGATTCAGCATAAACATACACCCATGTATCTACATTCTCGCCCACATAGACTCTCACTAACACCATTCTATAGTATAGTTCCAATGTTGAGAAAAACAAGCAATATTACAAAAACCAACATTATCTCGTTTTTATCGAATCCCAGACCACTGGTAGCTGGAGCCCACTAGAGAGATTTCTTGATTTCTGCCAATACACGATCTTTTTTTAAGTATCGAAAGTGAATAGATGTTTCGTTGTTTCAAGGCTAAAAATGCTCCAAGACTGCCAAAACCGCTCTCTGCACTAATCACATGTTGCTCGCAAAAGCCAAAGAGGAAAATATCAAACATAGCCAGATTTAATGCTAACAAGCGCTGTGATGTATAGGCGATATGAATCACAGGATTCGAATCAGCAATTACAGGTAAAACGTATGTATGATTGCGACATGCATCTCCAAACGATTGAACACAAAAGGATGGGAATTTCCAACGTAGCAAAGCTGCTCGACGAAGTCGGACAGTATCTGATATAAGAAAAGCTATCGGTACTTGTTTGACATCGGTGAGAAATGTTTGATTTTCATTGACGATATCTTGCGCACAAGTGAGGAAATATCGAAATGATTCAAATAGCGAGTTCTCATTAGTAATAAATTTGAACCAATTCGTAAATTTTTCGAATATCATAGTTCGATCTCCAGTACGCACTTGGATACCAATAGGATAAAAGTTTGTCGACAAGAGTATTTGTAGTAGTTGCTGTGGAGTATGACCAAGCTGTTCCTGTTGTAGAGAATCGGAACTAATACTTGTCGATGTTCTTTCGATTAATGATGATAATCGATAAAGAATAAATGAATGATAAAGACATCCGAACATATTATCTGCACTCATGCGTAGAGTCTCAGTCAGAAACTTGCGATAAGTACTTGTTTTCGACATCATCATATGTACAATGGCTCCCGTATGAGCTCGAAAAATGAGAATTCGTTCTGGAAACTCTTGATCATAGTCATAGTCGCGACGCAGTCGGTCGAAAGAAAAAAAATAGTGACCTGATGTGAGATATTTTGTACTATTTTGAAAAAAATTCTTATTCAGACGATCTAGATTACGAAACCATGGGATCACAGATTCTCGTTCATAATTCAAACTTGTCAGCATCACATGAGAAAATTCAGGCCAATCAGCATCGAACACAAACAATCGATTAGTTAATATCGCTATCAAATAGGTTGAAATCAAATGAACAATGCGATCAGTCATGCCTGAAGGGTTCTTCTCGTAGAGCATGAAACGAATATTTTGATCGACGATGCGATCACGCTGCTGCTCAAATGTCAATCTGGGATCACTGATACTCGAACTAACATTTTCATGCCAATCTTGATATTTCGAAATCCATCTATTAAATTCAGGAGAACAGATCTTCGGGTTCGACGCTAATTCAAATGGACTAAGACGTCTCGTTCGTGCTGTTGATGATAGTAAATCGCTTAATAGATGCTGTGTTGACAGTGAATCTGTTATTGTTGATCTGTACTGTGCATCAAGCCAATCAGTAATGGCTATTCGTTCATCGTTGAACAATTGTCGTGATGTAGAATGAATTAAAATACTGGTAATCGAGCAAGCAAAATGACGTTGGGAATCACTCGTATGATTTTTTATCACATCGTTCAAAATAAGATTTGTACAAGATTTTTTTAACGTCCATTGAGGCCAGTGAAAATAATTCAAAATGTTCAAATCGAGCCACTGATATGTGAAACTGAAAACAATATCAACAGAAAATATCCGATTAACATGAACAATGATGTGAGTGATTTGATCGTTTCGTTTATTAACTGGGACGGTTGAAATGATTAAGAAAGGGTCCAACGTTGTTATAGAATTCAGAGTAAAATGTATTCTTTGTGTATTAAACTTCTTAACATTAAAACGTAAAGTAAAATTGAAATATGGTTCAAATGTCGTTTTATTTACGTTTTTTTGTAAACATGTGATTCTTAGATGTCGAATCGTTCCTTGGAAACCATCTATATTACCATGAAGATATGTTGCGAGGGAACTCACATTGATTTTCAGTATTAAACGATGATTTTGATAGGTCGGTAAAAATGGAGCAGTGATATAATGGAAAAAGTGTTGTTCGTAGATTTGAATAAGTGCTTTCGATGAATGAAGCATAATAGTCTTCGTATTAAACATAAACGGATATTGTTCCACATGGTAAGCTGTTTTCGGTATTGATCGAAAAATAATCGCGATTTCATTTTTCTTTGAAACTATATTAACATAGAGTAAAACTAAAATCAAGATTAAAACCAAAACTTTAATTCGATTCGTCGCAGTTGTGCGACATACAGAGCCGATATTTCTTATCATCATGATCATATCATCAAAGAACTCCTTTGCTCGATGACAAATCTGGAAATAAATGAAATAAAAACTTTTGTTGAACTCTATATGATTGTATTGGAGTGAAAATACATGACTCCTGTCGCAATGAGATAATTTAATTTCTGTATCAACGCAGTAGGCAGTATCGTCGAACTTTTAAATTTCAAAAAGATGAACTACAGTGACGTTAGACTAAAAGGCATTCCGCCAATGAGTCAAGCATCTGTTCTTGGAGTCCGTTCATGATAAAATGTGATATATAAGGTGTTCGGAAAGTTACTAGAGATAGAAAAGCATGATCATTTCCATTCATCACTCTTCAACCGCATGAGTTGAGTTTTTTTTCTGAGGGTAGAGGACAGATAGAAGTTTTTGTTCATGACAGAACAGTTCATTTATGGCCATGGAACCAGCAAAATTTTTTTCACTTATAAGTAAACTACACAAACGTTTTTCCTATGTCTAGTGACTTTGTTGACACCTTATATATATGTACAAATATTTTCCAAGAATAGACTCTCCATGGATGACTAGATTTACGAGAAAATCTTTAGGCTTCTATGATGTTATGTAGTTGAACCATAGACTTTGAGATAAGGAAGGGTCTCGGGGAGAGTGGAAAATCATCATTTTTTGATTGTTTCGGTTATGTTTTTATAATTTTTTTCTTCACTTGTGTTGAGCAGAGTCTCATTCGAAAGAGCTTATCAAGCTGACCGAAAAACTCTCACATAGCTTTTTTTGAAAAATTTCTTCTTATTAAAAAAAAAGTGAAATCTTGGACAAAAAATCCATCTTGTGAAGAATTTCGTGCTCTAAAACATCCTTGTAAAGATTTTGAAAAAAAAAATTCGAACAAAAGCCACGGTGATCTCATTAACTCCTTAGATAAAACGATTTGTGGCAATAGAAAAAGACGAAGATTATCTATACTCCGTGTTTTCTTTTTTAATACTTCTCATTCTGTATTCTAATATGTCATTACCAGCAACTTCATCTTTTACTTCAATTATCAACTATAGACGAGCGTTTAACATTGATGCAGGCTCTATTACAGAATACTTCTCTTCTATTTTGACCAGTGATGAAAATCTAGATTGTGAAACGCTTCAAAATAGAAATCTGCTTTTCCACGATCACTTTTTACAGAATATTTTCATATCTCGTCGATATATCGAGCTGACGATTACAGCTTGACCAATATTTTCTATAAACTTTTACTGCATTATGACATTTTATATTTTTTTTAAACTTCGTTGAGCTTAAAATTCTTTGATACATATTTAAAAATGTTCTCGAAAAGTTTCCAAGATGAAAAATAACTATTTATTTTCTTGTTTTTCATGAAAAAACAAATCAAAGAAGAGAAATCGTCCTTAGAAACAAACGTCATACATTGATCTCTATTTTTATTGACTGAAGGCTTATAAGCGAATTCGAAATAACGCTCATGCAGTATATAATATTAGTTTTATGAAATCACCATTTCTCCTCGGTGTCTACTAGATATTAAACGGTGTTGGTGTGAGGTGTGAGTCTTCCATTCACCTATACCTCACATCCACACACACATCAAGTTACTGTAGCATATGTTTCTAGAATACATTGGAAGAATAAACGTGATGTGAGTATGTGATTTTGATTATTAGATCGGGATACCCATGTAAAAGTAAATAAAAATTTAACGATATAAGATCTTGTATATTTTACCACGAAAGCTCGCTAAGAATTTTTTTAACGAAACGTCATGTATTATTTCATATTAAGTTGTTTCTAACGAGAAAATACATGTGAAGTTTCTTTAAAAACAAACTTTTAAAACGTTTTTATAGTCAAAGATGTGACTCCTTTTTTTGTTAAATCATTAAATTTTTATTGATTTTCATATGCGTTAGATATTCTCTTCTTCTACACTTTTAATAAAATACATACCTACATCAACAAGTGCAAACAGGCAAAGAATCCGTGAAAGTTGTTAATGTTCAGTTTTTTTTCTCTTCCTGTAGTGATCTAATGAGCATTCCAAATGAATGAGCAGAAAGTATTTTTATTATGGCATTGCAGTCCATAGG